TTTTTTTTTTCTTTCTTTCTTTCTTTTAAAACATCCCTTGAAGGGATGTGGGCATGGGTAAAGTAGTAGATTGTTTTCCTAGTTAGTGGGAGGCCCTGAGTTCAAACTCCTGTACCAGCAAAAGCCAAAAAAATACCTCTAACATTCTATCAGAAATAGAAGAGGGGCATATGTATTTTTAAGCACCTGCTAATAGATAAGACGTCCAGGTAGAATAATATGCATAATCTGTATTTAGGAGCTTATACTCTCCAAATTTAAAAACAAATCTTACTGCCTTTTTTGGGATTTATAAATATCCAAAATTAGAATGGTGTGCCTTTAGCACTGAAAGAAACTTCAGTGGTTATCTGTTTAACACCCCCTCATTTTACAGATGAAGAGACTGGAATCTAAGAGGTTGTAAATTATTCTTTATGATCATGTAATTATGAAATGGTGGAGTTACTCCTAGAACAAGTGTCTTAGTAAAGTCTTTCCACTGCTTCAGTTTTATATGTATGCATTATGGAGAGGTACAGAAAAACCTCATGAGGGATTTTTCTTAATAATGTAATCTAAAAATCCATTTGACGTAGAAATGCAAAGATATATTTAGTAGAATCAGTTTTTTGGTGGGAATGGAGCTTGAACTCGGCTTCACGTCTGCAAAGCAGGAACTCTACCACTTGAGCTGTATCTCCATTTTACTGGGGTTTTTTGGCTATGGTCTCAATCTGTTTGCCCTGGCTGGCCTTGAACCTTGAGCCTCCTGATCTCAGCCTTCCATGTAGTTAGAATTACCTAGTAGTAGTAGTGATCCACATTCCCCAGCTGATTTTACACACTACCAACTAGTAGTGTATGTATTGCTTACAGAAGCCACTGCCTTATTGCAGGTGACATTTTTTATCTATAACAAGGCTTTAAGATTTTTAGTTTAAGCATTCAATATTTCCATGATACGTAATCTCCACTAGTTTTGCTTAATTGTGGCTTATGAGGAGACAGTGGAGAAGTCTAGAAAACAAAACAAAAAAAATGTACTGAATGTCGAGGAAGAAAGTGAATCTACTGCTTTGTATGACTAAAACATATTTGACTTACTCTCCTTGTCCTTTACTTACAATATAAATTCCCATTTTTAGGGAAAGTGGGAAGTCCCTCTGCCCAAAGTTCGTGCCCAGGGAGAAACAGAAGTGTTAAAAGTTATTCGGACAGGAAAGAGAAAAAAGAAGGCATGGAAGAGGATGGTTACTAAAGTCTGCTTTGTAGGAGATGGCTTTACAAGAAAACCACCTAAATATGAAAGGTTCATCAGGCCAATGGTAAGTCCTTTGCAAGCGTGAGGTGATTTAAATATTAGTTCCCCTTGTTGAACTGGATAAAGTACATTTCCTGAAATTGGTTTTATAAACAGATTGAAAAATGTTTTCATACTTTTGTTACTTCAAGTTATTGCTAGGGATTACTTAGCATTTTTTCCCACTACAGTCAAGAATCTTGACTTCAGCTTTATAAGAGATTTGAAATGAAAAGGTAAATGTCAATGCTTTTGAAATCATTTAAAAAAGGGGGTAAGAATATAAAAATAGCTTAATTTCTACTGATAGTGGTGATGGTAATATGCCCCAAATTAATCCTCACCCCCATCTATCCATACCTACTTTGGGAATAATATAATTGAATGTGTATTTTCACAAAATCCCTTCAAAGTCACTGGTTTGTACTACTAGATCTCCAGCTTGCTTAGAAAAATAAGGAATCAGAAAGAAAGTTGGTAGCATTAATCCTAGTGCTCTCAACTTGAGTGATTTTTTTTTTTAAATGGATTAAAATACTGGCAAGCAGTCTTGTTTTTGTAAACAAAGTCTTACTAGAACACATTGTAATTGTGTTCCTTGTAGTACAATTACTCAATTGTATTTGTACCTGAGAACATAATGGCTTACAAAGCCTAAATTGTTTCTTCTCTGGTCCTTTATAGAAAACATTTGTCCACTCCTGATAATATGCTGGACTCTTTTTTTCATTTTGTATTCATAATCTTCTGAATACATTTTGGTAACATCAGTTCTCCAGGGAGCAAATACACTAGTCAGGTTCCTACAAACTTAATAAGCCTAATACTACAAACCTGATTCAGTGTAATTTCCCCCCAATACCCATATAGGTTAAGATAAGACTACAGAGCATTCTGACATTAAATTATTGTACCCTGAAAGATCCTATCTAGGTGACTGGGTGATAGTGTAACTAATCTCTGTAACAAAGACTTCTCCAGGTATTCCCCAGTCTTTGAACTATATTACCATCAACACAAAGAAAGCTGACAGTCTGTCGTATTTTCAGTTATGAATGGTGGATGAAGTATATAAAGACATGGGATTAGAATATTTAGGTTTGGTCCTATTTATCACATACCATTTAATTTTGAAACAAGTCATGAAGCCTGCTAATCGTTGTTTCATCATTTAACAAAAAGGGAGGAGGGGTGTTAACATGTGTAAATGAGCTAGTTGTGAGCTCTAGCATAATGCCTGGCATGTACCAAGTTTTCAGTAAGTCTAAATAACTAGACTTAAAATGTAGTAGTTAGGTAACTATTACATGGTTAAAAAAACTTTCTAAGAGTGCACATGTAGAGTTTTCCCTCATGTACTTATACTGTCAAGTTTATTAGTGTGTAGAAATGTATTTTATCTGATGGTTTAAGATTTGACCTTATTCGTGCTTGAAATGATTAGAAAAGATAAGCAAAAGGACTACTCATCATTAACATTTTGGACTTAAATCTTCTTGTGTTTGATTTACTAGGGTTTACGTTTCAAGAAAGCTCATGTAACACATCCTGAACTGAAAGCCACCTTTTGTCTCCCCATACTTGGTGTGAAAAAGAATCCTTCATCCCCGCTATATACAACTTTGGGTGTAATTACCAAAGGTACAGTCATTGAAGTGAATGTGAGCGAGTTGGGCCTTGTGACGCAAGGAGGCAAAGTTATTTGGGGTAAGTGAATTTTTAAATATAGGGCTGTTACTGTCTACAGTTTGTAATAGAAATACTTTTCAAGTTGATATAAAGTATACAGCAAACTTTTTTTAATGAAGAGCTAAATGGGTTAAAATTGGGTGTAAATTACATGTAAATCTTCAAGAATACTACTTTTACAGAAAAAGTGAATGTAGTTCTTTTTAAATTAGGTTTTACTAGAAAGGTGTACTATATTGTTAGGTTTGATGCTTAATTGAAGAAAATACAGTAAATTCACTGTAAGCCAGAGATGGGAGGCTTATTTTTACATCAAACATAAACACTATTTCAATAATAATTAAAACTGAAATTTTTCATGCAGCAGTTTTAAGTTCTTTTTTTCATTTGTTTAGTTTTCTGCATTTAGTGTCTAGATTTTCTCTAAACTTTGGTATTCTTTGAAAAGAATACCTTTTTTGTTTTTTGGGATTTTTTTAGGTACTGGAGTTTGAACACAGGACCTCATGCTTGCTAGGCAGGCACTCTACCACTCGCCCAGCTGGCCTTGAACCTTGATTCTCCTGATCACTGTCTCCTGAGTAGCGAAGATTACAGGTGTCAGCCACTGGCATCTAGCCCTTGAGATTCTGGAGTCATTTGTTCACAATTCATGTTGGCTGACCTCAGTTTTAAAATATGTTGTCAAGTTGATTTGAAATACTTTTTAAAGCACAATGCAAGAAGTGGGGATATAGCTGGTGGAGTGGCTCAAGCTGTTAAGAGTGCCTGCCCAGCAAGCATGAGGCCCTGAGTTCAAACCCCAGTACCACAAAAAAAAAGGGGGGGGGATATACATCAGTGGTAGAGAGCATGCCACACATGTACAAGACCCTGAGTATGATCCCCAGCCCCCACCCCCCAAAAAAACCCAAACAAAACATTTGCATTAGCTAATTGTGGTGATGTTCACACCTGTAATCCCAGCAAGGAGGCAGAAGGATCTTGAATGCCAGGCCAGCCTGGGCTACATAGCAGGACACTATCTCAAAATACTAAAAAACAAAACAAAAACCCAATGTACTTTTCAGTAACAGTCACATGGAAAATACTGGCTTGTTAATCTAATGTACTAACAGAATGAAACCGACTACCATTTAAAAACACCATTTGTATAAAAGTTGTAGTCACAATACAACTTGGTTTTGAATGACTTATGTTTGTAAACTCATTTATCCTCTATTAATTTTTTTTTTAAATTGTAATTAGAAATATTTTAGGCAAAGATTATATTCCTTAAGATTAATTTTTATTAGCTAACATTTTCCCTTTTTCTTGTTTTGGTTTTGTTTTCCTTAGGGAAATATGCCCAGGTTACCAACAACCCTGAAAATGACGGATGCATAAATGCAGTTTTACTGGTTTGACAGCACTTTCATACAAAGAACCCCTTATAATTATGACTACAAAATGATCAGGACAACCAGCAATACTGTGATGTTTGTGGATACTACCAAACAGCCTTACATATCTGCAATCAAGAGAGCTATTTATTAAATTGTAAAAGAAAAACATTAAAATGGCCCAATTTTACAAATTGGTTTCTATTTTGGAGACTGCTAAGGGCTTACATGTTAATAAAATTGAAGGATTGAAAAAGCAAACACATAGATACCAGTATCTGCATTGAAGTGTGGGTGTCTGGAGATGCCTATCTGTCATTACTGGAAAAACCACCAGTGTAAGGGAAAGCATTCGTAAAGGCTAATTCATACTTAGGATAGTCAAGGCTAAGAAATTTGGTAATGTTCTCATTTGTCCTAAAAAATGTAGCATTAGCACATGGTAATGTTTACATTTATAAAATACTTTCATGAAAACAATGTGAGAAAAGGCACACTTAGAGGGAAAAGCTCAGAACTCTTAAGTCCTTGACTTCTTTGTACAGTAAGTCAGTGAACCACAATGTAGCTTTCTTTTAGCATTTTCTGTATTTTAAATACAAGGTAGTACATATGTAGTTTTAGAATGGTATTAAAAATGGTTTAGAATAATTCTAGTTTAGTTCACACTGATGCCCTGAGATTTATTTGAGTTAATTAGGTAATATAAAAAGGTCTTGTTTTAGGGTTTTAACTGGTCAAAGCACTTTTGTCATATGAATTATGTGCTCCTGTTTCTGAAACTAAGAAAGGGTGTCTATATTAACCTATAATCACATTGCTTTATTTTTTTAAGTCTGTCTTCAAAGTACAAGCAGTGTGATTAATTGTGCCTTAAAAGCCACTGAATGTCTTAAGACAAATTCACTATTTGAATACAGCTTCATGAATGAAATTGGGGAGAAAGGAAAGAATTTCAAAACACAGACCAGAAAACAATCACAAAATATAGGTTTAATTGCTTTTAAACTTGCGGGGGGAGGAAAAAACCTACCAAGAGTAAGTTCTCCAGTAAGACTTGCTATTCTGAATAATAAGACTTTCTAAGTTTTATAAACACATTAAAGTTGTAGAACACAAGACACTTGGGAAAAGGAAGACCAGTTCCTTGGAAATAACAATCCAGTAGGACAGAATCACTTTGTGACAAGCTAAACCTAAATTTAACTATTTTGCTGCTAATCAAAATAAGTAATGTGCAAATTAAGTTCTAGAACGTAAAAAAGAAAGAAACTGACTTTAGGTAATCACTGGACACTACAGAAATAAGATTTCTTATTTTTTAGAACTAAACCTAAAGAAAATTTGTACAAAAGAAGCTTGATAAAAAATAAAACAAGCATAACAAATCACACCCATAAAAGACTGGATCACACCTGAAACACCATGTTGCTACCATGGACACAAAAAGCAGAAATTTGTTTCTAAAATACTGTTGCACAGATGATGTTAGTATAAACTTTATTTACATTAAAATCTGTTTCAGTTTGCTGGTGTGACCAAACCTTGGAAGGTATTCCCAAAGAAAAAAGTAGAACATAAAAGCAGATATTTAGATACGTAGAGGCTCAATTTGATGCAATCACAAACCTTCAAAAGGTACTTTATTCTAATGTCACAAACCATTTTAGGTAGTAGTCTGGTAGTCAGTTAAAGTAAACCATTATTGACTAGATGTTCTCCTTACCATCCCTGCACTGAATGAAAACATGACTATAGACACATTTTAAGTAGAAGACTGACATTCTAAGTCATGCCATTTGATTTTATAAAAAAAATCATAATAGAACCTCTCATCTTTAAAAGTTATAGAGGAGCTTTACAATAACTCTTAAATATACTAATTTCTGTGAGGTCTAGCAATTGAATAATTTAAACTTGAAAGTAGAACTAAAATTTTGCTAATAACCATCTGCTTTATATTACACAAGGAAATATATACTTATGTACACAAGAAGTGAACTCCCTTCTCTGCAAAGATGACTTCTAAAAATACCAGTTCACAAAAGACTGTAGGATGTGACTGAACACTTAACAACTAGACTGGTTAAAATTACATTGCAGTCAATCCTCTGTGATTCTGAAAATTTTTCTAATGCCTTGCAAAAACTAAGTATCTGATTAAATTTATTTAGATTCCCTATTGATGACAGATTTTGTTATAAATTTGATATAATCAACTTAAGTTACTGAATATGAAAGTTAGGTTTTTCCATGTGATCTAGCTTTTTATCCTCTATGATCTATAAACCCCAAAATAACATTTCTGCTGAGATAGCATGTAACAGGACAGATGTGGTGGCCCAAGCTTGAAATCCCAACACTTGGGAGGCTGAGGCATAAGGATCTCAAGTTCAAGGCCAGGCTGGGTAACATAGCATGACCTTGTCTCCAAAACAGGGAGTGTGAAGGAAAAAAACAGGTTATATGTTAAAAAAAAAAAAAAAAGTTTTATTGTGTGTTGAAAAATCAAAATTGCTTAAAATTCCCTTACTACTTAAGCCAAGCAAGTTTAATAACTATGAATTTAGTTCCCAGAGATGGTACATGAATAATGGAATTTTTTTTTGTAAATTCAACAGACATTGAGATATCTAGACATCTAGAGTTACCAGTAAGTGCAACTTTTAAAAACTACATGTTTAAACAAAGTAACTTAAAAGGATCAATGAGCAAAAAGAATTAGTAAGATACTTTAAAGTTTTTAAAGCTGAAAATGGAAGTTAGCTTTCTGAATCTTAGTAGAATCTTTAGTTATTTCCCTAGTTATGATATTAATAAGTTCTCAAAATATATTAAACAACATGAACGTTCGATAGATTCACTAGAATTAGTCATGCTTATTCTTGCACTTAGCATCTGTAGAAAACACAAAAGGCCAAAGTGAATGAATTTTCACTTAGAATTAAGTCATCTAACTTCTGGCAAATAATTAAAAGAAAATAGGAAATAGAGTTCTAGATCTTACAAGATTGGGAAGGTTTACTATATCTTCTCTGCTTAAAGATTTTAATTATATCTTTCTAAAACACTGACTTTCCAAAATAAAGTGTTATGACACCACATTACCTAACTGAAGATTGAACAGACCACAGACCTTCAACATAAAGCCATTAACACCTCAAATAAGGACACAAAGTCGTAACATGTTTCTTTCACAAAAGGATTAAGAACAAGCTGTTTCAAAACCAAATCTAAATAATATCAAAACATTCTCTAACTCATGTACAAACTGAAGCACATGTAATCCAAAAACCATGATTGAATTTGAGATACTTATACTCTTTGAATTCTAAGAATAACCATCTTGTTCATTTAAAAACAAATTACCTACAACAATGAACAGTTTAGGGATTTTTTTCTCCAAATTTTCCTAGGTAAATAAATGCTTTTGCTATAGCAACACAAAGTATAAATAACAAGCCGTCTTGTAGTCAGTACTCAAAGGACAAATCTAGAGTAAGCAAGCCCAAAGGGACAACTGAATCCTCCAATTTAATTTAAGCTCTCATAACTACAGTGCCTAGGGCAGATTTACTCCTGCCATCTAATTCTAAGATTGTGGGGTGCAGTTCTAAATCTATCCAAAAATGGGCACAAAGGCATAAGGTGGCAGGCAGACCACTCATGCAGAATCACTCCATGAGTTAGAGGGGCAGATTAAAGCTGAGGGGAAAATAAGACTGTAGAATTAGGGCAGTAGGGGGTTAAGAAGGTTTAGGAAGGGGGCTCCCACTTCTAAATTATAGATATTAAATGGATGGGAACAAAAGTATAGTCTCTAGCCTACAATATCTATCTGTGATAAGGACCAGGTGTCCAAGTTAAACTATATCCCTAATTTTCACTAGTTGGAATGTTTACTTCATTAAAGGTAGAACATGTAACTTGTAAACTTATAACCATCTGTAAATATCAAAAATTTAAAAAATTACAGTAAACTAATTTTGAATAATGTACCCAAGTGTGACAGTTAAATCCCTAGCAGTACTGTTACTATCAGGTGGTAAGTGTCAGAAATAGTGTACCTTTCCACAGATACTGAAGGCAAAGAAAGAAACAGCATCTATAACTAAGACCAAAACCAAAATGTTGTCTTCATACATCTTTGACCATAAGTTTTTACTTTTTGTGCTCTCATTTACTTGAGGTTATTCTTATTCTAATTTACTGACCCTTATTTTTGTTTAGCCATGCCTACATTTTTTTAAATGGTAAGAGTTTTGATATCTAAGATAAAACTTCTAGAACCCTCACAAAGTTTTACTATAAAACCCTTAGTATAAAAGATTTCTGTGATCCTTACAAGTAATGGAAAGCTTACTACTTTCAGTTTTTTAATTTATAGTTTTTGAAATATGGTCAGATGTCCACCTACTAAAGAAAAATATAATATGATCTGGAGTCTCAAAATTCAAACATGGCTAATAAAAATAAAAAAATTATTATTTACACTGAAAAATTAAAAACAATAGTGAATCCTAGTTCCTAAAGGAAAAAGAAAAACTGCATGTTAAGTTCAAATTTTGGAAATGTCTGTCCTATGCCCCGTATTGTTTATTAATTGCCATGTTTTAAAAACAATTCTGTTACAAAGAAGAAGATTTATCATACGCATATCTTCTTCATTCAGGTCATCTTGGCTTTCTTCTTGGCAGGTCCTTTATGCCCCTTGGCCTTTCTTCTTAAATTCCGCCTGTCCACTACAGGCACTTCCACTTCTATCTCCTCTGAACTGCTATCCACAGCCTTTTCTGCTGATTGTGTAAACTGATCCAGTTGCTCAGAGGACGCTTCGGACTGCTCCTCTGACTGGTTCTTCTGTCCTGTGTTCTGTGAAAATGGCACATCCTCAAGTTCCACCTCTATTAGAGAATTCTGAGGAAGAGCAGTAGACGTTTCCTGGGACTCAGGCACCCCCTCTTCACCCTGGTCTTCCAATGAGGAAGTAGTGTGGGGTGATAAGTTCTCAGAGACTGGTTCTTCAGCAAATTCTGCTACCACAGAGTTTGGAAAAGCACTGTCAGAGCGTTCTTCATTTGAGATAGTGGCAACACTGTCTGAACTTCCCAAATGCGCTTTCTTTCTTGAAACTAGGGACAGTTTCTCTTCAGTGTGCCCCTTGTCATCAGATGGGCTTTGATCTACCAACATTTCTGAGTCAGTTATATGTGGGGTCTGAAAATAAAAAAGTTGGTCAACAGATAATCTTTTATAACACAGTTCTAAAATGAATTATCCTCAGATATCAATATGCAATAACATTAAATTAGAACTTAAAAGAATTTAATATTCATTACTTTTGTTAACCATGTGTACAAATTATGGATTCAACTAAATTTCTTTAAAACTGTCTCATTAAATTCTTACTATAGACATAATATTCTTACTTTATAGACATAATAAAAGTAATTACTTTACCACAAAGAGTACTTAGTAGATCTTAAATTTCAGATCAAGAGACTTCAAAACCATGAATCACCTGTAAGTTCTTAAGTTTCTTGGTGTTACTAGAGCCAAAAGCAAGAATTCCTTGGAATATAACACTGTGCCACCCTTCTAAGTTTGACTATGGTTTCATTAGATGACAGGGATGGTGACTATGGTGAACACATATAAGATTGCTGTTGTATTGATGGATTGTGAAAAACTGTTGAAATAAGAATTATTAGCTAGTGTGTGTTAGGACTTAGAAACCAGTCAGAGTATGAAAGGCGATAGGCAAATAAGCCAAACCTAAGGTGGCAGTGCTTATAGCAGAAACTATGAGGTCACCACCAGGTATATAAACTCAGAGCCAAACCCCAAAACCTCGCTTGCCTCCTTGCCCACGGGAGACCACGCTGTCAGAGTCTGTCCTGAGGCTCTGACGTAGAGGCAGCTGCCGCTTGTGAGCGTGCCCCTTCTCCCGAAGACCACTGGGTGTTGCCGGTAGACCACAAAACTGGACCTGCACTGAAGGCAGCCTTGAGGATCCCACGGGGTGCAGCTACACCCCTCTTATCAGCTGAGAAAGCGTTGCAAGGTGAGCGAGACTTGGGGGAAGGTCTGAGTAACCTCCTGGCTGGCTAGGGTAGTAGAGACAGGCATTAGGATCCATGGGAAAGTGCCATGTAAATTTGTTTGAATAAAATCCTGCTCTCTGAAATAAGAGTCTCCTTAGTACTGTTCCTCTGTACTTAATTGAACTATAAGTGCTTGCGACAGTGATGGATGTTTATTCAATAATCTAAGTGAGACACTAACAAAGAAATGCTACAACAGTGTTTTAGTTTTAAATTGGAATGTTAAAAAGTAACAAAATTTAAGTTCTTTTAAAATACTCTAAGTTTTTCTTTTTCACTAATTTAAAATGTCTCCCTCATTTAAAACAAATCATAATTCCTGTGTTGGTCATATATTATGCAAGCAACAAGTACTCAAATATTAGGTAAATTATGTTTAATCCACTTTTCTGAGCATTTCCCTAAGTCTACAAAGTAAAACTTCTTTTGTTACCATAGGGTAGATTTTTTTGTTGTTGTTACAGGGACAGAACCCCATAAGGCAGATATGAATAAGATTACAAGACTGGAGTTTAAGGATTTAATTTCCTACAGTATCTAATGTAGAACAAAAGTTAATTTTCCTGAATGACCATACATATTAAGATGAAGGACAATTATATATACTCCATTCACTACCCCCTAATGGTGCCAGTATTGGCACACTTTAACTATAAAAACTGAGTTTATGTTGCCTTACCTTATCCAGTTGAACAGTCTCAGAGGGCTTTGAAGATTCTGTCCCTAGTGGGACAAGATTTGTTGCATCTTCACTGGAATTAAAGGACTGCACTTTTAATTCTTCTTCCGCACCTTCACTAGTGGAGTCCTCCTCTTCGGGTACAAGTGAAGTCTTAAGAGTATCATCCATTATTTCACCATTCACAGGCTCTAATTCAGAGTCCTACACCAGGGGGGAAAAGTCAGGACATGATTACTATGTACTAACTTACTTGTTATGCAAGATGAGCCTCTCTCAGTCCTTATCTGTCATCCACCAGGACTCACAATAGATTTAGAACATTACAAGGTATGGGTTAAAGAAGAGTCTTACTGGAAGAAGAAGGATTTAGGAGGCAATGTAAACAAATAAACAATCTACAAGTATCCCACACTCCCATCCTTCTTAGCAGACAGGAGAGGACTAGGATGCTTTGTGATTATCAATTTTCTTCTTTTAAAATCAAATATTTCTAATTAATCCTAGTGACACTCTAATAATCAGAAGGCATTTTATTACTATTTTCAAAATTAGAAAACTGATGTGCTTGAATGTTCACAATTAGATATTGTGGACTACACTGGATCCCTGAAAGCACACAAAGGAAAGAGATAGCAAAATCAGAGATGTATGTACTTTTCTATAATAAAAATTTTCTAACATAAAAAAAATTTCAGGCCAGGCATGGTAGTACGTGCCTATAATCCCAACAGAAATGCAACAGCTTACATGATGTGTATACGTCAGCATATTGTAGTGTTTAAAAGACATAGACGTTTCCATAAACATTTAGGCAAATATGCCTAAAAAATACGCTTTGCTTTATTTATGAATTTTCTGCAAGAAGAATGACATTTTAAAATATAGTCTAAGGAAAACGAAGCTAAACTGGAGTGACTTAAGAAAATAAAATTTATAATCTAGTTATTTACCTGCTGGATAGACTTGCAAAACAGATAAAAGATTTTTCAAGAAACTCAAGTACATATGAAAGAAGAAATAAGGAATCTTTAGACAGGAAAGGACTGAAGATGTTAAAGGAAAATAAAGACAGAAAAAGTATGTGAAGAGCTGCAGGGAACAAGCCAGATGAGCAGTTTACTTAGTTACAAAGAATTTACTTATTTGTTTTCTCCTGTTCAAAATAAAATGAGTGTAGTTATTTTTTACAGGAATTTGTAAGGCCAACTATGATCAAGTACTTTTTCCTATATGACTAATTCCTGCCTTTCCCACCAAAACAGAGATGCAACTGAGGACTTGCCGGACTTGAAAGCATTCAAATTGGCTCTATAAAGGTCACATCATGTGGGTATGTCTTACATGTGTTTAATTCCACATATCAATTTATATTTTAAGTGCACTGAGGGATCGTCCTACTTAAACATCTGCATTTATATTTGACATAATTCAAACTTTATAAACTCACCTTAAAAAATAAAATTATATTTGTGACTTTATCCTCTCCCCTATTCTAGTGTGTGGTTAACTTGGCTTAATATATGCCTTTTTTCCCCCAGTACTGTGCTCAAACCCAGGGCCTTGGGCATACTAGACAAGTGCTCTACCACTGAGCTACATCCCCAGCCAATATATGCTTTTTGACACTAACCATGATTTCTAAAATATATCATGACATTTTTCTAACAATATGATTAAGAAAGTTAAATTTGAGTTATTCCCGTTCATTTTATTTAACAAGGGACCCATACTTTTTCACCATCTTGTGTCTCCAGGCATGATTGTGTTTCTAGTATAGGATGTGCATCTCTGTCACTATTTTCATCCTTGAATTCAGTGACTCTCTGCTCAGGTTCTTCTTCCAGGAATTCTTCTGAACTCTCTGATGTGCGTGCAGTAGATTCCAATCTATGGAGAAAAAAAAAAGAAAAACCAAACACATTCTTATTTGTTCTATTAAAGATCAAACTTCAGAATCCTTTTTTTTCTTTTCCTTTCAGTATTTTAAGGCCTGAGTTCAAACCCTAGTCCCACCAAAAAAAGAAAAAAGAAAGAAAAATCAAATCAAATGAATCAACAACTTTAGATTTTGTAGGTCTAAAACCAGTCTTTTCATCCTCTTTTAAATTTGTTCTCTTTTCAGTTCAATGAATAACATCACCATCTTCTCAATCATGTAAACTAGACCCTTCTTTATCTTATTGTACTGAAATGAACATATGCTGCAGAGCACCCGAGACAAGTCTCAGTGAACAGCTTTGTCCATAATTACAGATGCTGGCACAATTACTTATTTGTTTTTGGGGTGCTGGGGATCAACCCAGGGCCTTGTGCATACTAAGCACATGCTCTATACCATGGAGCTATACTCCCAGCCCTGGCATAGTTAATAACAAACTCCCTTTTCATTCTTAAAAATGTCAGCATGGACAATAGAGAATAATGGTTTATTTTTAGTTCCAAAATGCCTTTCAAACATACCCCTAACTTTTGGTTCCCATTTTCACAGTTCTACTTCAGGCCACTATTCTCTCTGCAAGTCGTCATCCCACTTGCAGCACACTGTTACCAAGGCTTTCAGAGCAACATCAGTCTCCTAATCAACACTCACCCCAGCTTTGTGCTGGCTGGGAGGAAGAATGTGGTCTGAAGCCACCCCAGGGCAAAAGTGCAAGACCTTATCTGAAAAACAACTAAAGTATAATGAGCTGAGGTATGGTTCAAGTGGTAGAGAGTTTGCCTAGCAAGCACAAGACCCTGAGTGCAAATTCGAGTACTGCCAAAAATAAATTCTTCTCTACCAACTTTGATTATTAAATCTTTACTTGTCTTTGAAGCCCTGACCCCAAATGCCAAATATCCCCTCGTTCCCTCGATCGGACACAATTCCTCTTTCCTCTGTATCCAAAGCATTCTGCACTCCTATTTACTGCTCTCTCACAATCCACCTTGCAGCACTTTTAACTGTGTATGTGCCTGGCTTTACTAGTTGGTGGACAATTCCTCAAGGACAAAAATGACATTTTGTTCTTCATAATGTCTGAGGAAGAAATTCAAGCACTGAGTTTTACTGTTCTATTCATGAAAAGCAAAGAAAATTCCCGAATAATTCTGGGATATTCAACTTAAAATGTATTGTTAAAAACAGAGTGACGGATAAGAAGGAGTAACAGAGGGGTGCATGTGATCAAAGTACATTATATGCATGTATGGAAATACCATAGTGAAACCTTTTTGTACAATTAATATACACTAATAAAATAAATAAAATACATTGTTATATTTGTTTCTAAAGGATACTACAACAACTGCTCAATGGAAAAATCATAATCTAAACTATTATTATTTTCATGAATTTCTAGATTTAAATATTTACTTATATTTGCACATTTAGCATTATGATTTAAACATTCACGTACTTAATTACCACAAAATTATTTACTTAATGACATTTGCATAGCTACAGAATTCTCTATCTGAGTAAAATAATTTCACAGTAAAAATGGCAAAGCTTTGTTAACTAACGGGTTGACTCAGGAATGACTGGTAGAAATACTAGGGCAAAGTCTAATTTTAAATACTGCTTTTTTATGTGGTATGGGGATTGAACTCAAGCCCTCATGTTTGGTAGGCAGGTACTCTACCACTTGAGCCACTCCACCAGCCATTTCTGCATTCAAGATAGGGTCTCACTTTCTGTCCAGGCAAGTCAGGACTGTGATCCTCCTACTGATGCTTCCCTGGGATGACAAATGCATGTCATCCTTGAGATGGGGTCTTATGAACTTTTGCCCAGGCCGACCTTGAACAGCTACTTGAGAGAACCCAAGTAGTAGTTCCTGATCCCACCTCTCCATTAGGTAGGATTACATGCTTGAGCCATCATGCCAAGCCAAAATTTTGCTTTATGATTCAAAAGAAGACAGAAGGTAAGGTTTTGACCCAAGAGTTCTGTTGATTCAGCTGACTACTAAGTTTCTGGAAGAAATGAACCTACTATTTATGGTTATCACCAATTTATAAATTATATTCTATCCCAGTAAAATGGATCAATTATAAAGTAAAATTGAGGGTTCTTAAAAACTGACTAAGCCTCAGCACTACTAAATTCAAAGTTGATGATAATGATTCACTGGGATAATATAATGACTAGAATATTCTCCTGCATTTTCACACATGAAAGATTCAATAGTGAGTTTATTCCACGCTCTCACTAGTACTTCCTACCTCCAACACTGTCAAGGTAACACTACTGGGAAGCATAATCAATCATACTGCAGCAGAATCCAAATACAAACTCCTGCACCACAAGGCCATTTGCTACACAAACAACAAAACAGCCTTTATCTTTAGTACTAAATACTAATAGTATGAAAGTAAGAATAAGCAAAATAATGAGAATAAAATAAGTCTTTACTTGTTTATTGAAGCCATAGGTAATGTCTGGGCAGTTTTTTCATCTTCACCTTGAGAACTACTAAATTCAGAATCCTGAAACCGCTTTCCAATCTTTGGTCGCTTTAAATGACTGCTTCGAGTACGAGTGGAAACAGGTGTTTTTTCATGACCTAAGGGAAAAAACCAGCAAAACTGACTTAATAACGTATTTAAAGAATTACCTATTAAAATATACAGGAATGCAAGAACTATGCAAGTTTACATACACTCCTACCACTATAGATTTGCTCTTCCCCCACCAGGCTAAGAAAACAATGTGTTTCAAATTATAACTGTCAAAATTCACTCCTATATTTCTAAGTTATCCTGAGCTTTGCAGTTTTAGTAAGTGTTCTCACTTACATTCTCTCCCAATGATTTTGGGAAATAATGTAAACATTACTACCCCTATTTCACAGGCAAGGAATGAAGAAAAGGGAGCTACAACGGCGTCCACAATGCCAATAGTGACATCAGAACCCAGACCAAGGTGTGAGAGCTAAGTTTTCACTTGTTCTAGGTCTCACCCATACACACACTTACCCCTAATCCTGAAGTATCTCAAATACTTCCTAATAGATCAGCTGAATTTCTTACCTTCAGAAGTACTTGCAAAGGCATCTTTTAGAGAATCAATCTAAAACAGAGATAAAGATTAAAATCCGATGTCTTTATTTTTTTCCTCCCTATGAATTTATTTCATTAAGTTTCAAAGAAAAAAATTTAGCCCTTCTGAGGTTTTATTGGCAGTACTAGAATTTGAACTCAGGTCCTCACACCTTGCTAGGCAGGTGCTCTATCACTTGAGCCACTCCTCTAGCCCTTTTTATGTTGGGTATTTTTGAGATAAGGTCTCTGGAACTGTTTGCCCAGACTGACTTTGAATCTTGATCTCTGCCTCCCAAGTACCTAGGATCACAGGAGAGGCTCACATAGCATTTTTCATTAAGAAAATTTACTTTAAAGATGAAAAAACTTTACAGCCTCAGTTTATTATGAGTCTGAAAACTCATTCAATCACTGAGTTTCCCGGTGTTCTGTCCTCAACCGCCTACTCTCCTCACTTTCTTACCTACTTTCTTCACTTCAACGTCTACTGATAATGAATCTGAAAACACAACTTACACAGCTTCCAACCTGATTTCCAAATCTCTGTTTCCAAAGAAATGTCTCCCAGTGGATGGCCCATCTGATTTCACATCAACCCATCCCAAAATGAACCTTATCTTTCTTTCCTCAACATTACTCGTTATCTTGGTTAATGGAAATAACAATTTAGTAATTCTAGCCAGATATCTGAGGCAGTAACAATTTCTTTCTAACCCTCATTCATTCACAATCAGAAAGCCTGTCAATTTCTAAAGAATCTCTCTGAATTTCCCTCTCCTTTGTATTAGCATGGCTTTATTATCTTTAAGTGAAACTATTCCAATAGCCTCCTCACTGATCTGGTATCCCTCACTCTAATCCCATCCTGTCTAATCCCTTTCACCTTGATGACAGAATGGTGCTTCCAAATCACCTATTCTGCCACCCCTTTGCTCAAAATCTTGTTTTAATTTAATGGCTTATCACTACATAAAACACAAACTCACAAACTTCATTAATATCACTTTCATATTAAACGTGCCATTTTCTATAACACCTCTGTTTCCTTCACATTATCTTCTGAAATGCTGTAACAACCTTTATCACAGAACTCCCATTTACCCTCTTCCTCTGCTATGTACCTCCAATCATTTGCTATAATGTTAAGACAATTTTTATCCTATAGTATATTTGTTTACTCATTTGTTTTCAACAATGGACCATCTAAGATTTCCTACTCACATATTCTTTTGTATGTACAATGCTTGCCACAGTCCTACTCCATTCTAAATCACCATCCATTAATTCATTCATCACACACTGAAATTCTATGGTAGGCACAGACATTAGAATATCTACTATGGTTGACAATAATCCTATATTTCAAAGTAGGTAGTAGAGAAGACAAAGAAATGACAAATGCTTGAGGTGATGTATATGCCAATTATCCTAATTTAGTCATTACAAATTGTATGTATTCAATATAAACATTGAAATGTCATACTACATCCCAAAAGTCTGTACAAATACTATGTGTAATTAAAAAATTTTTTTTAAAGTCTACTTATAGGACACAAACAAGGGAGTAAATGTGACTGATGATATGATAAAAATCTTATCTTCAGGAACTTTATAGTTGTTCTCGGCTTCCACCTGGGTCCCAACATACTCCCCTTTACATTTCCCCTCCCTAATTTTTAAAAAAACTTCATTTATACCTATGTGTCCAGCCATGGATTGTTCCCAGTGAGATATGAAGAATATGGAAGTCTTCTGATCACACACTACACTACAGCCATTAATATTTTTGGCAAAGCCAGCCAAGGAGTTAAAAAGGAAATGTGCTTGTTTCCCTCTTCTTCTCAGTTTACAAGCTGACTACCACCCCATGGACTGAAGTGAACTGACCACGTGCGACGGAATGAAAGCCTTTAGGATCCAAATCATAAGGCAACAAGGCTATCAATCTCCACAAATGAACAAGATCTCCATGAACAACCCAGATCTCCATAAGAAACCTTCACTGTAATGAACAATAATTCAGACACCTTGTGTCCAAGTGAGTCCCAAGGGAAAAAAAATAGGAGAGACAATTCCTCTTGTAGGTAGGGTCTGCTGCCTCTTGTCAGCTTGAAGCAGATACTGAAGGTGGACTGACCCCGTTCAGCAACCCCAAAAAGGAATTTTTTGGAATACTGTCTCTCAGGGGGAATCTGAGGCAGGCTCAGGAACCACCCTTGTCCCTCCCTGCTCATTGATTATTGAATAAAAGTCACCTCCCCTTCCCATACATTATCTTAGTTTTTAAAAGCACCTGTAGAGCAGAAACAGCTCTCTCAGCTTCCAGCTTCCACCTGGGCCCCACCATGCTTCCCCCTTCCCTAACTTTTAATAAACTCCATTTACTCCCCCCAAAAAAAGAACTTTATAGTTAAACTAGAAAAGACAAAAAACAATAAGTAAATGGGACAAAAAAGAGAAATACATGTAATGCTTTACATATAAAAATAAAGAAAAGGAAATAAAAACACCATTACCCAAAAAATAAGTCATGTATCTGAAATAAAATTACTTCCTCATGGGGTTACTGAGAAAAGGTGTTATAAAATAGTGAATATGAGAACTAAATATTTTTCTTGAGCTAATTAAAACATTAAAATAGTAAGAGTTTCTAAAATGAAAGAAAATGTATGCTACCAACTTTATGACGTGGTATCACTTAATATATTCTCATTCAAATGATACATTTAAAATTATTTTGATTAATATTAAAATGAATCATTGTCTTCATTACATTTAGGCAGATTTTCTACTTCTTGCATATAAAGAAAAATTCTGCATAGCAGAGAAATTTTGGGCTATAATATAAGAGAACGGGCTTATTCTGAAGTTCTAAAATAAAAACTTTTAAAAATCTAACTCCTTATATGAAGAACCATATTGTTTATATTGTTCTTAGAAACATATAAAAACTTTCCAAATAAACAGTCAACTTTCATGCAAATTAAGATAGGAGCTTGGGGTGGCTCAAGTAGTAGAACACTGGCCAACAGGAGGCGCTGAGTTCAAACCCCAGTATAGGACTAGAGGTGTGGCTCAAGTGGTACAGCATTTGCTTTGCAAGCACCATGTCCTGAGTTCAAACTCTAGTACCAGCAAAAAAAAAGGAAATAAGCACAAATGCATATGCATTTATAAAGTATATATAGATATACTCAGATATGCATATTCAAAAATACAACTACAACAAATGCTATTATGAATGAACACTACATAAAATAGACTTGTGGAATTCCAACAATGGGGCACCATTTTAAGTAATATTAAGTACCATAAAACATCAGTTCTAAATCTGGTAAGTCCTGTAAGGTCAGCAATGAGACCTGTCCTTCTATCTGCAAAGCATATTCATTCTACAAAGATTTAGTTGAGGGCTGATGGCTCAGAGCATGGCTCAAGTAAAAGAGTGCCTGTCTAGCAAGCATAAGGGCCTGAGTTCAAACCCCAATGCTGTCAAACAAAAAGAGGAAGACCTAGCACATATAGCCTCCAACTTTGCACAAAAACTACATAATCTTTAACCTACTCCTAGTTCCACTTCTAGAAATTTATATGTTCACAGAAATCACTGTATTTGCACAAATATTCATGTATAAGTGTGTTTCCTCCTGGGCCACTTAAAAATGTAAAAAAATTAAGTGCCATGTTAAGGAAATAAATGATGGTAATTACATGCAATAGTGCACTATTTGACAACCATGTTTTAAAGCAGCAAAGCCATGGAAAATGCTTAAAGTATTACTGTTAACAAAAAAGCAGCTAGCAGCAGCATCATAAAATAAAAACAAAACATGGACTGTGCATAGACATATGCTTCATAGTATATAATAGCAAATGCATATACAAAACTGTAACAGCGGCTATATCTGAGTGGCAGATTACATTTTTTTTCTTCTATATTATTTTATGTATATTTGAAACTACCTTTAATTAGTTTATAATACTATACATATATCATTTATTTTTCAAAGAAAATTAAATCCTCTATAATCAATTGACAGAAGATGCTAAGAAAACTGATGCAGTTGAAATTACTGGCTGTTGAATGAATCATAAACATTTAAAACTTAAATATAAACTAAATTTGCTTTACAGAAACATCATTACTCCCTTCAATGGACATATAGTGTACCTACAGTTAGCTGCATCTCACTAGACTGATTGTCTTCGGCACCCAGCTCATATTCTGGAACAGCTGCAAGACCACATTCTCCTGACACAGGTCTTTTGGCTTCATGTTGAGAAACTGCTGGGTATACAAAAATTATTTGAATTGTAAACCAATCAGCATTTGCTCTGTATTGTAACACTGTACTGATTTTCATAAATCATACTCTGAAGAGGAAGCTAGACAAGAAAGGTACCAAAAATCTAGGTGTGGGATGTCCCTTTCACAGTGTCTTTTAATCCTTGCCATTATCAAGAGACTTAAATAGTTATCTTCAGTGTTTAATGATGCTAGAAAGATATGCTTGAGATTTGAGGCTATTTTTGATCCCCAGAAACCTATTCTATGCTTTTCATTATTCTGTATTTGTTTTTTATTTCAATTCCTACCTGAGCTGCTCTAAGTCCCAATTAGTCACTCAAAAATTAATACACAATGAAAATTCAAACTTTAAACAAGAGCATCTGTTATTAGAAAGTTCAAATTATAATATACCACTGCTCTGCAGTATGAGGCACCACCATTATTAAAGGCTGTTTTTTCAACTGGACTATATTCATTCTTACCTGTAATTTTAAGTGTTTCTCTCTGTAATGCTCTGGTAACTGGTATTCGCTGGTACCAATGTCCAACACCTTCAACTTCCCAAAGGAGTTCATGGTCTCCAGGATACTTTTCAAAGTATTGTTTGGAAGCTGAAAAACATATTTACAATTTTCTAGAAATCTCAGATACCAACTGTTAGAAAAAGAGATGATGGAAAGTAATCTGCCCAACTCACTTAATGAAGCCAGCCTAACCTTGATACCAGAACACCACCAACATAACTCAAGAACAGTACATAACAGTCTCATTTATGAATAAAAATCCTGTAAAAAATTCAAGTAAAAAATTTTAACATTGATAAATCTAAAAGTCAGTACATATATAAAATGTCACATATAAATTCAAGAAAACACTACCCATATGGTCCAACCACTGTGAAAAAAGTTCGGCAGTTCCTTAAAAAGTTAAACATAGAATTACCATATGACTAATGATTCTACTCTCGGATTTATATACAAAAGAACCAAACACAGAAAATCAAACAGGTATGTAAACCAATACTCACAGCAACAATATTCATAATAGCCACAGGTGGAAAAAATACATGACCATCAACAGACAAATAAACAAAATATGGTATATTCATACAATGCAATACCATTCAGCCTTAAGAAGGAATGAAATTTTGATATATGTCACAATGATTACATTAGAACATTAGTGTTCATTATAACACTACAAGCACTGTGTTTAGTGAAATAAGCCAGGCACAGGAGGACAAATATTGTATGATTCCACTTAAATTATGTACTTAGAATAGGAAAATTCAAAGGGACAAAAACCAAAAGCAGAGGTTACCAGAAGATTAGGGGAGGAAAAAGAGAAGATATTATTGTTTAGTGGGTAGAAAGCTCATGTGGGGGATGAAAAAAACAGTTTTGGGTATAGGTAGTGATGACAGGTACAAAGCATGTGTACAATGTCACTAAAATGTTCACCTACAGATCTGTGTGTGTGTGTGTTGTGTGTGTGTGTGTGTGTGTGTTTATTGGTGATGTTCTAGATATACAGGTTGAATATCCCTTATCCAGAATGCTTGGGACAGAAGCGTTTTGTTTTCAAGATTTTTAGAATTTTGCATATGAGATATTTTAGATACTGGACCTAACTTTAAACATGAAATTTGTTTCTTTTTATGCCTTATATATATAGCCTGAAGATAACAATATACAATTATTTTTAGTGCATTTGTGTTTTGACAGTGACCTGTCATGTAAGGTCAGGTATGGAATTTTTCACTAAAGAATCACAGCAATACTCAAAAATTTTCAAATTTTGATGTCAGCTTTCAGATGTTCTGATTAGGAATGGCCAGTGTGTATCTGCTTACTCAGCATGGTGCTGCAGTGAGGAATACAAAGATGACACTTATGGAAACAAACAATGAAGGAAAAGTCAACCTTTATGACTTTCAGTCTCTGAGATTTCTTTTTACCACAGCATAATACAGAAAACAGCAATATCAAGAAATTTACATATTGATCTGTCCCCAGTGTATTGCACAGAGCTTCTAAACTCCTTGTTTAGAAGGAGAGCAAGAGGGTTGTTATTAGAAAAAAAAAATGCTCTTAATCACCCAGGAAATTCCAAGGGACTAAAGAGCTTGGTGTCAGGTACTACTATCAAAGACTAAATATTAGAGCAAACGATTCTTCTGGCACCCTATCCACAAACGTGGGAACAAAAGATTCTCCTGACACAACTCCTGGTAGAGGCTGGTCACCAGAAAGACCAAGCCATGATCGTAAGGTTGAGGTATCAGCCATATCTCATTCTCTGAAAAGGGACAAGAGCTGGAAATGGAGTTAGTAACTGATCATGCTACATGATAAAGGCTCCATAAAAAACTATAGAGTTTTAAAAAACTTCTCAGTTGTCAAACACATGTGAGTACCAAGAGTATAATGTGCAATGACTCCAAGGAAACCGAAGCACCTTCACTCAGGACCCTTCCAGATCTCACATGTGTACCTGTGTCCCACTGTTCATCTGTATCCTTTATTAATAAACTGGTAAATGTAAGTAAAGTGTTTCTTAGAATTCTGGAGCTCCACTAGCAAATAAGTCAATCCCACATAGAAGGAAATCCCCATAGAGTGCTCGTCAGTCAAAAGTATAGGTGACATCTACTGCTATCAATTGGTATGTGAAGTGGGGTCAGTCTTTTGGGACTGAACCCAGAGCCTGGGGCTCAGATTCTGACACTGTCTCCAACTGAAAACAAATGCTTCTGTCCCAAGCATTCTGGGTAAAATATATCCAACCTATATATCCAGAACACTGTCTAGTGAACATTTACAAGCGTGTGTATGTATGTATGATACCCTCAGTTAAAAATCCCATCACTCCATAGGAACCACTTCATTTCATAACTTGGTAGCTCAAAAAGGGAAGAGAAAAATGCAGCTACAAGTCAGGCTGAACTTGGGGGAGGACAATGTCAGAAGTCAACTGGAGATAGTGTCAGAACTCAATTAGAAAATACCTAGTTGGTGTCCACAGAAAAATTGTGTGGTGTAGTAGAAATACACATCTAATAGCAAAAATGTGTTCAATCCTATGAGTAGAGGGAAAAAATTGGATTTTTTTCCTTTTTACACTAGCCTATTCTGACTAACACAAATAACAACAGACCAGCAGCAATTACCACTAATAGGTAAAGGTACATCCATTTGTAGCACACTATATAAAAAAGAATGGTTCATACTATGCTATTAAAAAAAAGTACAACTAATATATGCTAATAAAAAAAGAGAAAAAAAGGATTTCAGAATTTTGTCAAATTTTCACACTGATGTAAAATAAAATATATCAAGGGAGTAAAACAAGATTTAATGTACAAAGTGTAATGTCTGTGTAGAAAGGAAGAAAAAATGCACATTTTGATAATATACACAGAGTATGTCTGGAATGACACATAAGAAATTGATAAAGCTTGGAGTCAGTGGCTCACGCCTATAATCCTAGCTACTTATGAGGCTGAGATCTGGAGCATCACAATTCAAAGCCAGCCAAGGCAAATAGTTCAACAGACACCATCTCAAAAATAATCAAAGCAAAACGTACAGAGATGTGGCTCAAATGGTAGAGCAACTATTTTGCAAGCGCAAAACCCTGGCTTCAAATCCCAGTCCAGAAGAGAAGAAAGGGAGGAAAGGGGAAAGAGGGAGGGTAAAAGGGAGGAAGGAATTGATAACAGGGCTGGGATATGGCTCAGTGGTTCTATCCTCTGCACCAAAAAAAGAAAAAAGAAGAGAGAAAGAGAAACTTCTTACATGGAAATCCTTTATTCCTTTTGAATTTTGTAATTGTACTACCCATTCAGTGGAAATTATTCAGTATTAATAATACTTAAGTACCATCAAAATAAGTAAAAACAAAATGTTAAAATAAATATAAGATACAAGCTAGGAAATCAGCAGATAAGTGGGTGCTCAGCACCAGCAAGGCCCTAAATTCAATCCCCAACATCAAAAACAAGACAGAAAACCAGGTGCCAGTGGCTCACACCCTAATTCTAGCTACTCAGGAAGCAGAGATCAAGATGGAGGTTCGAAGCCTGCCTGGGCAAATAGTTCCTGAGACCTTATCTCAAAAATACCGGACACAAAAAAGGGCTGGTGGGATGGCTCAAGTGGTAGAGTGCCTGCCTTGCAAGTGTAAGGCCCTGAGTTCAAACCCTAGAACCATAGCATCATAAACAAATAAATATGGGTAGGTTTTGAATATGTGAGAGGAACATTTTATTTTGTTGACCTTCATGTTTATATAATGTGCTGTCATTTTCTGTCAACAGGTATTCCTGTTTTTACTATATCACTCAAGGTAAAATTTAAAGTACAGGTTGAGCATCACTTAACTGATATGCTTGGAAATAGAAGTAATTCAGATTTCACAATTTCTCAGATTTTGAAATATATGCATATTCATAATGAGAATCTTGGGGGTAGGTTCCAAGTCTAAACACAAAATCCAGTCATGTTTCACATATACCTATGTATATAACTTAAAGATACTATTAATATAATATCTCTAGTATCTTTGTGCATGAAACAAAGTCTCATGGTTTTGAACTTTCTACTTGTCACATCATGTCAGTGTTCAGAGTTTCAGATTTGAGTGTTTCAGATGCTGGATTCTCAGATTAGGGATGCTCAACAAGCATTTATATAGAAAAAATGTTCTAATTGAAGAAAAGTCAGCAAGTCTGGGCAGAAACAGCTCAACATGCAAAATTATATAACAACTAAATTATAAAGAACTACCAACTTAGCCCACGTCTCTAGGTATACATGCCACAGTACTATATACTATCAACATCTCATATTTAGCTACCACCCACTCTGGCCTGAGAATGAATGTCATACTTGACATTCATTACCTATTTAGGAAATGAACAAACCATTTGTTTAAAGCTTGCAACACAAAACAGTATAGTCTTTCCTACAATGTCCAAAATATTATTGGAAACAAGTGAAGATCGTCAAAGAACTGTCTGATACACAGCAACATTAAATTACTAAGTTGAAAGAAAAAACTGAATAGAAATCCAAACTCTTCAAATGTAATAAGCATTGTGCTCTTTCAGGACAGTCAGGAAGAGCTACCAATAAAAACTGGAGAGGACACAGAATCTAAAAAAGGACTATTAAAATCTCTGATTCCTGGAACAAGACAAGGATGCCTACTTTCACTGCTTTTATTCAACAAAGTACTTGAAGTCCGAACCAGAGCAATCAGGTTAGAGAAAAAAAATACAAGTCATCCAAATTGGAAAAGAGGAAGTCAAATTGTCACTATCAGCAGATGACATAATCTTATATACAGAAAACCCCAAATACGCCACCAAAAAACTATTAGAACTAGTAAATAAATTCAGCAAAGTTGCAGGACATAAAGTCAACATGCACAAATCAGTAGTGTTCCTGCCTAGCAACCACAAGGCTCTGAATTCAAACACCAGTACTGCCAAAAAAAAAAAAAAGAGAGAGAGATTAAAAAATCAATCATGTTGCTATGTATCAATGGCGAATTATCTGAAATAGATAGTCAAGAAAGCAATCCCATTTATAATAGCTACAAAAATAAAATAC